CTCAGACACTGGGGTATTTCAGATCCTCATCCTGCACCAACAGGAATCTGGGGGATGCTAGATATCTCTGTACAAAAATTCAGGTGGAAATGCTGGAACAGGGCTCAGCACAGACACAGGTACATTCAGAATCAGCATTTACAGGGCTGAAAGGATTTGTGGGATTCACTCATTTGTTTTTTAAGGACACATTCCAAGGAACCCCGCTCCGCAATGACTTTCCCCTCATGCCCCCACCCAGAAGTTGGGGCTGCCATTGGCAAAATCAGGCACCCACCCAGAAGTTGGGGCTGCCATTGGCAAACAAAAAGGCAGAGGTCCAGAATTCTGCCTCTGTTTGGTTAGTGTCTAAGTCAGAGATAACAAGACTTTGACTGTTGGGAGACAATAGAGATTGCTGGGAAAAGAGTGCCGGTTAAGTATAAATTGCATTCTATCAAGCCCACTCCCCAGAAGGCACACTCAGGTACGGAGGACATAGCAGAGAAATTAACCAAACAGCTAACCCTCTTTTCATTTCAGTCACACAACAGATGGATCTTGCTGCATTTACTGTGCCCTGGGAGGTGTCAGGTTCTTTGTGCCGTGACAGGCAGCTCTGACTACACAGGTCACTGAGGAGAATGATGTTGGCAGCTTATCCAACAGACCAGCTGCTAGCCTCTCTGCATCTGCTGGCTCACTAATCAGATCCCCTGCACTGGCCTTTCTGCCTTGGAAGGTTACAGGTAAGTGGTGGGCCATGAAAAGGGGGCTCAGTGTTGCCCGGGGAATGGACAAATCAGTCAGGGGAAGAGACATGCCTAGTGTCCACCTGCGCTTGTTTGCAGAGTGGGAGTGGAATCCACAAAGGCAGCCTTACCCTGCCTTATTTTGGCCCTGGACTTGCAGGGCTTTCAGGATTTCCAGGCACCCCAAGCTCCAGGGGGCTGGCTGGGCTGTGTGAGGAGAATGCAGAGCCTGGCAGCACCCCTGGAGCTATTGCAGACAGGGAAAATGTCTCCCTCATGCAATTGTGGGGGCAGGACACCAGCCAACCCTGCCCAAACTGCACTGTGGTGAGGTGGCAGTGGCAGTCAATGCAGCAGCCCCTCACCATGGGCATGGGCTGCCTGGCTCATCCCGTGCCTCTAAGTTGTGACTGCAGCCCAGCACCAGGCTCTTCCTCAGGCAACAGTGCAAGGCTGCTGCCTCCCTGCCATCCAACCAGCATCTCTCCAGGGCTGGGAAGCATCCAGTCCAGAGAGGCAAGGCAAGCACCAGGAGCAGAGCCTGGCTTCTCATGCAGGGGAACACCCTTGCACACCCCTCCCCACTGCCAGCAGTCTCTTTCTGAGCACAGCAGCAGCCTGTGTGCAGAGGGATCCTGGCAGCTTAGAAGTTGCAGACAACTCAGTAGGGGCCAACCTCTTGGGCAGGCATTGCCCCAACCTAGGCCCTCACCCTCCCCAAGTGCCTCTCTCATCCCTTTCCCAATCTGCTGCCTTCCATGTGCTTCCTTGCCCGATCTGCTGCTCTACTTGCCCTTGGGCGGTCTTCTGGGTGCCACACACACCAGCTGCCCATGCCACTTATGCCACCCATGCTGCAGGTTTAAAGCAATCTCCCCCAGCTTCCCATCCCTGCTTTAAAAAAATCATTTTCAAGGAGGCCAAAAACAGAGTATTTCCCCAGTCTTGTTAATCAGATAGTGGAAGTGGGAGATGCTGGATGCACTAAACAGTCTGATACCTGTAGTTGTAGATATTCTGAGTTCTATAGATTCCAATATCTACCCCTGACCCTGCAAACCTTTCAGCGCCTGCCCTAATTTCTCTCAGGAGAGTAGAACCTGGGCTTTAGTGGAACCACTTCCTGAGCATTTTTATGTCTGCCAAAGCCTTTCCAGACCAGCCAGGAACTTGATAGCCAAGTATTTTCACCATCAACAACAGCTGCAGCAGCATTAATGTTACTATTTGGCTGTGCTGAGTTTCTTTGTTTTCTTCCTTTTCAATACAATCTTCTGCATTAGATGTGGGGCTGGTCCACAGATGGCTTTGTACCAGTATGGCATTACTGGTTAGAGACGTTAGTCAGGTTCATCCAAAGTCCACTAGAAGGCAGGGTAGATTCAGCTGAAGTCAACTATTGGTTAGAATTAGGATTTCCTTTCCAAAACTTTTATACTGGTCTGATATATATATATATATATATATACATATATATATATATATATATATATAAAGGCTTAGTCTGTCCGTCTGTGTGTGTCTGTCTGTCCGTAATGTTCCTGTAGCACTCTGACTGGCTTAGGCATTATTTTGTTTTGGAAGCCAATCACAATGCTTACTGAAACAACCAATCAGTGTTTCACACAGACACACACACACAGACAGCTGGATGCAGAGTGGAGGAGTGGTGCGTGGCTGGATACAGAGCAGTGGCAGTGGCCACCATGTGCAAGCTTCCTCCCTCACTCCTGGGAGGCAACAGCAGAGCGGGGTGGTGGCGGCACATGGTGCTCCATCACCGCCCACCCCCACCCCCGGGTCATTCTTGATGGGGAATTTGCTAGTACCTATATAAAGGCACACTTGCTTATTTACATATGGAAAGGAAAACAAATTATCCCAGTATAAGACACTTTGCATAACTGCATCCAAACCAGGGAGGTCTGGGTTTCTTAGTATACAATTGTTTCTTACCCCTTAGCTCTTTTTTTTTTTTAATTTTTAAGTATTAAACAATATCTCCACACATAAGGCTGGTTCAAAAGCATTAAGACAAGTCTCAAATCTTGGTTTTGAACACTACATTGATAGAGATTGCAACTGTACAGGTCTTTCACATCCCTGGGAGTTGAGAGAGCGCACAACCCCAACATGACTTGTTGGAGGCACCTAGTCGGACACCTTCAACTTGAAATTCAATCAATTTTAATTTAATTTTCAATCAAACATATATATAGCACTTGCACCTACAAGTCCTCCCAGTCTTCAGCATTCTGTGGAGCTTTACAGTTAGGAACATCCTATATTTAAGAACACTTTTACCATTCAGGAATAAGGGATTCATCAACAATGTGATCCCTATTTTCAGGAAGGGGAGGAAGGAGGATCTGGGTAATTATAGGCCAGTTAGTCTCACATCTATCCTTGGGAAAACCTTTGAAAAAATTATTAAGGATCACATTTGTAGGAGCTCAGCAAGAAAAATAATGCTGAAGGGCAACCAGCATGGGTTCATAGCAGGTAGATTTTTCCTGACTAACCTTGTTACTTTTTATGACCAGGTCACAAAATACTTAGATGCAGGAGTTGAGGTAGATGTCATCTACTTGGATTTTATGAAGACCTTCAATATGGTATCTCATCCTATTCTTAAAAAACAAACTGAGCAGCTGTGACATAAATGATTACACAGTCAGGTGGGTGGCAAATTGGCTTAAGGGTCGCACCCGGAGAATGGTGGTGGACGGGTCGGTATCGACCTGGAAAGATGTGGGCAGTGGGGTCCCCCAAGGCTCGGTCCTTGGACCTGTGCTATTCAATGTCTTCATCAAAGACTTGGATGAGGGTGTGGAGAGCGCTCTGTCCAAATTCATGGATGACACAAAAATTATGAGGTAAAATAAACACACTAATGGGAAGGGATCAAATCCGGGTGGACCTGGACCTTGGCAAAGTGGGCAGAAAAGAACAGGATGCAGTTAAACAAAGACAAATGCAAAGTGCTACATCTAGGGAGAAGGAATCACCAACACACTTATAGGCTACAGGATGACCTTCTCAGCAGCACAGAGGCAGAAAGGGACCTTGGAGTCATAGCTGACTCCAAGATGAATATGAGTTATCAATGTGACAAAGTAATCACTAAACCTAACCACACTCTATCATGCATTAGCAGATGCATCACAAATGTGTCCAGGGAGGTGATGCTTCCCCGCTATGTGGCATTGGTCAGGCTGCAGTTGGAGTACAGGCAGTCCTCGGACTTATGACCCAATTGGTTTCTGAAAACTGCATCTTAAGTCGAAACGTTGTAACTCGGAACCAATTTTCTCATAAGAAACAATGTTATAAATGGGGGATTGGTTTCTGAACCAAGGCTCGATACCCTATTTTCACCAAAAATACCCCAGCATTTTGTACTCGATCAATTATAGGTGAGTAATATAGCTGTATTAATGTATTTATATTGTAAACAGCAATCATATTGATTTGGAAGGACTTCTTTGAGGTGACTTTCCTGGACTTTTTGAAGGGTTCTTGGCTGCAGGTTTTTCTGGGGTCTTGTCTGCTTTCTCAAAGAAAGTGACCAAGGAAGTTTGGACAGATGTTCTCCAGGGAGATGGGCAACGCAGCGAACTTGTTCGCTGGCATGGCATAGCATTGGATCAAGTGTTGTAAAGTTGAAACTGTTGTCAGAAAGTTGAAACAGGGCATCAATCTATAAACACTGTAAGTGTGAAACGCATCTTGAAATGTTGTAAATCAAGGACTGACTGCACATTATTTCATGTGTCAGTCATAGTAGCGCTTTGTTTCATTGCCACACAAATGGATGATATGTGGGTCTGCAAGCGTCCAGTTCTAGATGCCGCACTTCAAGAGGGATGTGGATAACCTTGAGAGGGTCCAGAGAAGGGCCACTTGTATGGTTACGTGCCACTCGTATGGTTATGGGCCTACGAGGAGAGACAAAGGGACCTAAATCTCCTCAGCCTCCACAAGAGAAGGCTGAGAGGGGATCTTGTGGCCAAATACAAATTCATCGGGGGGGGGGGAAATAAGAAACTGGAGATGCTCTGTTTACCAGGGAATCCCCTGGAATAACCAGCCACAAACTAACAGAGAGCAGATTCAGGTTGGACATCAGGAAGAACTTCTTTATGGTAAGGGTTGACAGAATCTGGAATGGGCTTCCAAGGGAGGTGGTGCTCTCCCCTGCCTTGGGGGTCTTTAAGAGGAGACTGGACAAGCACCTAGCAGGGGTCATATGA